AAACGTGAACGATTGTTTGATACAACCGGAACGGATGTAGCAGCAGTATCGAGGATGAGAGAAAAAGCCTCGGAAATTGTACAAGCAAAGCGTAATTGATCACAACGAAAACTGGAAAACGGCGGAACCAATTAAACGTACTCCGGTCAACGATACAGCCGTGAGGCATGCACGCTCGAGAGGTCAAAGATCGCCGCCGCGCCAATCGATTCCAATTAACTCCACGGTGAAAGATTTCTCGAGACTTTCACGGGTTCCCGGCGGAGACGGTCGGGTTCGAATGAAGTTCGTTAGCAAAGCATCTCATTATTGCGGATTGGATCGATCTTGGCAGGCGACGGGGGCACGCAGCTGCACATTGGAAACCCTTCTTTGAGGGATCCTGCGTGCCGCGGCTTCGCGTGGACGAAAAAGAAGACCGGCCGCGGACGGAGGGGACGGAGCCTGGCCAGAGAGAAAATGCCTCGGCACGTTATGCAAATCTTAGAAAAAGGTAGTAAAACGGAAATGTAAAGGCTGGCTGGTCCCTTATTCTTACGCCCGGTAACTCCCATAAATTCGCCCCCTGTCCTCTATCAACGAGAACCCTGTGCCCCCCTCCCCACGCCGGCTTCGCTTTCCTTTCGTATCTGTTTTACGCGGGCCATTGTCAGACCGGCTGCCGCACAGTCCCCCGGACCTTTCCCTATTTTTTCTCTTATTTTTCTTTCTCCCAGCTCTGGATCTCGTACCTTTCCCTTGATCATCTTGCGCTGTTTCTCGCGAATATCGCGTACGAGTTATCTAAATACGTCCCTCTGGGAAAACAATATGTCAAATGGAAGACACAGAGACTCCCTCATCTGCTTTCATTTCTTTCACGTCGCATCGGCTGTCTAGCCATTAGCGACGACTGGTTCAATATATTCGGATAGTCCATCACATAGGGTAATGGACCCGATTACTGTGGTACGATCAATTGCTGCGCCTTTGGTTTGTGCCGGGAATAATAAAAAATAATATATCATAATAAGAAAATATAATAATATAAGTATATAATATAACTTATATAATAATACTTATATAATATAATAATATATAATATTATATTAACATGTAATAATAATAAAATATAACTTTATATTTATCGAATAAAACGTATTTCATATTTTATTCGATTTATTCCTTTTCAGTTTTGAAACTTCTTCATCCTTTCGCTTTGTTTATATTTTTGCAATTTTCTAATTCTTTTCATTTTGGAAACTTTCTCATTCTTTCGCTTTGTTTATTTTTGCAATTTTCTAATTCTTTTCATTTTGGAAACTTTCTCATTCTTTCGCTTTGTTTATTTTTGCAATTTTCTAATTCTTTTCATTTTGGAAACTTTCTCATTCTTTCGCTTTGTTTATTTTTGCAATTTTCTAATTCTTTTCATTTTGGAAACTTTCTCATTCTTTCGCTTTGTTTATTTTTGCAATTTTCTAATTCTTTTCATTTTGGAAACTTTCTCATTCTTTCGCTTTGTTTATTTTTGCAATTTTCTAATTCTTTTCATTTTGGAAACTTTCTCATTCTTTCGCTTTGTTTATTTTTGCAATTTTCTAATTCTTTTCATTTTGTTGATTTTTGCCAT